GTTTTTCTTGTGCTCCGTTTTTGTTTAAATGTACCTCTTTTTTATGTTTATACTTTCATGCCAATTTAGCATGGGGTCTTTTTATTACATGTTTCTTTCCACTTGTCTTAAAATTTTGATGTTTTATAAACTCGTGCATGTATAGCACATGTTCTGTAAATTCGTGGCAGTATGGCACAAGGCCATAGGTTGATTTTTATTTTACATTTCTTAGAGGATGCCCTCCTCCCACTATTTTGTCCACGATGTTTAAATGTTTATTCTTGATATATTGTCAGTTTTGTTTTTCCATGTTTTCATGTTTGTTTATAAATTTATATTTCCTGTCTCCATTGTTGTTTGTCGCCTATCGTGTTTGTTCCTTAATCAGTTCCGGCCGGCCGTGTCGGATCAATTGGAAAGAGACCCTTGGGAAAGAAATATATTTTACAAAAATTGAGTAAAATGTAAAATGTTAAAAATGTTAAAAAAATAACAGACATTACGATCCTCCTCTACCTCCGCTATCGATAGGGTTGGAGAAAAGAGGGGGTCGTATATATATATATATATATATATATATATATATATATATATATATACACACACAAAATAAGAGAATGAACAGACAAATTAAGAATCCACAGTTCTTAGTATTTACTTTTTTAAAAAGTGCTCAGTACAATTTAGAGCAAAATATTATAATAAGTTATCTATCATGACTCGATAAAGAAACTTTATAGTTCTGAACTATGAAAAATAAAAGCTTGAACTATATCACGTTATGAGACGAACACGTCAAATCTTACGGTAAGTTAAGTTCCTTGTAGATTTTTCTTGCTCTTAGTTTCGTCTAGCACAAAGGCGTCATAATCGAGGCGCCTGCTGAGGTATTAAATAACATTTGTCACACTTTGTGATTTTCATTCTTTTGTATTTGATACCATTTGCCTTACAGTTGAACATCGCTTGTCGACCTGAGATTTTGAGTGATTGATGAATTAATTAAAGCATTTCTCGCGCATTGGATCGAACCTGTCGGTGGCCATTGATATCGAATGAAAAGACTTCCGATTTTCAGCCAAATGAATTCGCGTGTCATTTTCCTTTGTTGCATTTCTTGTCTGCTTTACTTGCTGTCATTCTTTACGAGAAATTTAGTCGTTGGCAATTTTATTTATTACTTCCTCGCGTTTTAATGGTTAGTTTCCATTTTCTCTTCCATGTATTTAATCGCTAAATCAAGCATTATAAGTTAACTGATGCGGACAATACCTGAAAAATTATTTTTACTGAAGCCATGAGAAAATCGACTGCAAAATGGCACTCAAGTAAATGGAATGGTTTTAGAGAAAAAGGAATTAATACGTTAAAAATAAAAATCCTATGTGAAAGTCCCTAAATAGTGAGTAAGAAATTTAGCAAAATTATTTGTTGCTCCAAAGTAAAACTTGGCTTGAACTATTTTGCATTCACTTTCTCACGAATGGTAATATTAGCCATTTCGCTACAAAGAGACATTTGACATTTATTGACCTGTTTTTGGTTGGAAATTTTAAAAGCTTTCTCTTAAAACAATTTTTTCAAAAGGTCATATTGCTTTTCCCATCATTGATAGATGGTTTCCATTCGAACGTTTTATTTCAGGTAGTGTGAAATATGGTAATGTCATTATTTTCTTTTGGAGTTGGATGTGCTATCCATTTTAGTTGTCGTTGCTGTTGTCAGTCAAGTCATAAATCCATTTCTTTTCTGCATCTTATGACGAGGCTAATCCTTTAGTCACAATATCAAAATATCCAGTCAAAATGCTCTTTTCTTTTGTTTCATAAATTAATTCCTTGAAACTTTTCTATAGTCTTTTATGAGCTCATTATTCTCAGTAGATGGTCTTCAAGAGCCAGGCTGGTCAGAAAGTTAACAGTCAGATTTCTAGTTTCTCGAAGGAATTTATTTGAGATGTTTTCGAATAGAGGAATATCCTGCTTTTTCTTTTTGGTAAATTAATGTTTTTTTGATGTGGACCATTTTCTATCGTTGTTCTGAAGAACTCATTATCCTCAGTAAATGGTCTTCAAGAGTCAGGAGGATTAGAGAGATACCAGTCACGATTTTGGTATCTGTACTGAGAATCGATTGGGAATTTACACGAGATGTTTCTGTAGAGTTGAATATGGTCACTTATCTTGGCAAATCACTGATATCTTGATAAGGATCCGTTTGTATATTCACTTTTGTGGATGAATTCTTGATTTGTGTGTTGGAATTAGTTTGGTAAAGAGAAATAAACACTGATTTTTTCCGTTTGCTATAATGTAAGCATTTCTTTTCTCCTCTAACAATCAAGTGAAGAGAAGAGGAAATCTTTATGGCTGGTCAACAGATTTTTGAAAAGTCTTGAACATTTATTTTTGATTTTCTGGTGGCAATGTATTTGGAATTTACTTGAGATGTTTCTGTAGAGTTGCATCTAATGACTTTCGTCATGATTCGTTTTCTTATTTTGCTTCTCTTCTACGTTCTACCAGATGCAGAGCAAACTGTTTTTTTAAACATTCTTAGAGATGATTGACCAATGTTCTGACTGTAATTATATTCAATTAGGTTTCATTTTGAAAAGGGAATATATTAAACATACATATACATTAGTTTAAGTAAACTATTTTTTATTTACTCTGGCTGTTTGGGATATAATCTCAAATTGCTAGGCAATAAAAGCCATTCCGATGGAAAAGGTTAAAGAGATTTTAAGAATCAAGGTTGATAATAAATGAACAGAATAGAAGGAGACTGAAAATGATGACTGATACTGAATTTAATTTTATTGAAAATTGTAATGGGGACTAAATCAGGAAACCGGAAGTGTGTTCCCCTAGTGAGAAATGTCGTCAAAGAGATTATTGTGAATTAAATCCACTTAAGCGGTTCTTACTTGGCTACTTTGTTATATACCGTACCTATGAACACTAATAGGTATATCCCAATCCTCATAAATACGTTGGACACTATTGTAAGTGGGGCTAATATTCTGTCTATGTAGTGCACCACTAGTAGTGGTTTACCTACTACACGGCGCTGGCGAGTATTGTATTTTGTTGATGTCATAAAGATTACCATTTCATTTCCAAACTTCGTTTGGATTATTCCTCATTCAGTAAATGTTTCTAGGTTACAACGATAGTTGAACACAATACACTTTTATGCTAAATCCTTGGTGCTTTAAAAAAAGGTTTTATATCTACATATACCTTCAAATTATCTTTGGATCATCAAAACCCACGCTTATTAGAAAAACAAGTCCTTCTTCTTAAAGTTACTTAAAGCATTTCTGGCGTTTCGGAAGAAAAAGTTGGAAAAAGGAACGCCATTTATTTGACTCGACCTGTCCAGAGAGCAGAACTGATGGACACAACTACACACACACACACAGACACACTTACACACACGTACGCACACACGCTTACACACGCACGTATACAACAGTAATTCAAGAATTGTCTTATTCTTAGCTCTGTTTCTTATTTTATAAATAGTTTAATATTTAGTGATTAGGAGAAAATTAAAAGGAATAAACCAGTCACCCTTTTTGCAGCAAATCAAATCAAATTTGGTCTTTATAATAATAATGCCGTTGGTGTAATGGATAATGGCTCGGAATTGGTAAACGTAGAGCCGATTTCCAATTCCCATGGAATTCATTATATTCATTTAGGAGCAAATAACCTTAAAAAAGTTATGAATTCACCTCTTCTCCCCCATCTATGGGTTAATTAGTAAGAAGTCTATAGATAAATCATTATTATCTCCAAACCTTTTACAATGTAAATATATTTTTTGACTTTAGTTAACCTGCAACGGGTTGATAAGCTGTAAAAAAAAAAACGAATCGATCAAATCAAATTATATTACAATGCATTTTAATCTCATCGTTTATAATCCGAGGATAATGCCATGGTTATTGGCGCAGAAATTGAAATCGAAGAATCGAATTCGAATTCCAGTTTGATTCGGTTTCATTCACTTTGTGTTGAAGCCATTGGAAAAGGCATGGACGCCATTTATTTAAGCCGAATTGTCTAGAGAGGGAGAGGGATAGACACATACGTACAGACATACAGACACACACAGACACGCAGATACACACACAGACAGACGCGCACGCACGCACATATACACCCCCCCTGGGTTAAGCTTGTAATTCAAAGTCTAATTTGTTTCGTATTTTTAAAACTTAAATATCCTCTTGGTTTAGACAAAAATAAACGTGAGATATTTTTCTATATATCGCCTTTGTCATATTTCAACGGGTGGATTTGACGGGTAGCATCAACAGTTACACAAACTTCTTGTGTTTTTATTCTTGACTTTTCTACTCTGCTATATTTGTTCTTGAAATTGTCCTCTCAAATCTTGATACTGTTTGGTAAAATTGAACGCAACAACACTATTCGATTCGACTCAATAACATGGTAACGAACAACCATTTTCTTATTTGGAGATCCAATTAGAGTTTATCTTCCCTTGACGCACCGATATCTTCTTGGAAAAGATGTCGATTCAGGATTCCTTTAATCACATGAAGTGCCTCACTAACAAATTTCAAATTCCACGCTTTGATGTAAGAAAACGTGTTTCTTGGATCCTCGGTTCAGCCAATTTACTCCCTATATCAACTTTTGAGTTGTGAGCAAAGTTTTCTTTTTAGTTTAGTTCTTTTATAAATTATTCGTTTCCCAGAATTGTCTGCGTGGCAACATCGATCAAACAGCTGTCATTAAAAAGACCTTTGGGTAACCGCTTGGGAATACCAGGGGCTGTAAGCTTGGATGTGCGGATGGTGTAATGGATAATGGCTCAGAATTGTTAATCAGGGTGTCGAGTTCCCTTACGATCACCGATGTTAAGCAACGTCGAGCCTGATCAGTACCTAGATGGGTAACCGCTTGGGAATACCAGGTACTGTAAGCTTGGATGTGCGGACGGTGTAATGGATAATGGCTCAGAACTGTTAATCGGAGAGTCGAGTTCCCGTACGATCACCGGTGTTAAGCAACGTCGAGCCTGATCAGTACCTAGATGGGTAACCGCTTGGGAATACCAGGGACTGTAAGCTGGGATGTGCGGGTGGTGTAATGGATAATGGCTCAGAATTGTTAATCGGAGAGTCGAGTTCCCGTACGATCACCGGTGTTAAGCAACGTCGATCAGTGATGGGCAACCGCTTGTGAATACCAGGTGTTGGATGTGCGGCTGGTGTAATGGATAATGGCTCAGAATTGTTAATCGGAGAGTCAAGTTCCCGTACGATCACCGATGTTAAGCAACGTCGAGCCTGATCAGTACCTAGATAGGTAACCGCTTGTGAATACCAGGTGCTGTAAGCTTGGATGTGCGGCTGGTGTAATGGATAATGACTCGGAATTGTTAATCGGAGCCTCGATTTCCCGTATGATTACCGAATTTAAGCAATGTCAAGTTTGGTAAGTACCTAGGTACCTAGATGTTTAAAAAACAGTTGCTGTAATATTGGATGTCGGCTCGTGTAATGTCTTGGACAGAAAAATCTGAGAGTTCCAATTCCAGCCGTTTTCCTTATAGCCGTTTAGGCATAAACCATATTTAACCAAGGATCAAAGGATTCATTTTTGTCACTCCTGCAATTTTTCCGGAATTATAGTTTCTTGGAAAAATAGGATGTTGTGCCGGTTGGGAATATTTACTATTTCGATGCAGAAGAATTTGTTTCACGTTTCTTGGGAAGGAAATAAAAACAATCAAGTAATTAAACCTTACGATTTGAATCATATAAGTGTGCATTAATGCTAGGAATTGCAGATAAGCTACCATTTAACCCAGTATTATTTGCTTCCTTTTATTTGGAGAGGAAATGGGGACTACCGAGTAGATACGTTTACTATTCGCACACAGAAAGATGAACTGAAATCAGACAATCTATTCAGTTACTCGTGGCTTGTAAACATGTGCTACTTCTTTTAAGCGGTTCTGATTCTATTCCACTACACGGATCATGTAACCTAATATTAGCCGCCTCATCATACTTAGAGAGGAGATGCATTTGTCTTAGTATTTAACTTTGTCATTGATCATTGAGGCATTGCTGCTTACTTCAGTCTGGACAGTTACCGACAGAGTGGGTGTGTGGCCTCGGAGCCCTCTTCGAACGTAGATCCTACATTCTCCTGCGGATATAAGAGACTGCTGGTGTTTATATTCACTAATTTCCTTACATCCACGAACTTTCATTGCAAGATATAAATCAACTATTGTTCATAGATGAGAGTAGCTTGAAACTAACCCGGTATTGTCTGAAAGAAAAAGAGACGTTATTTAAGAAGTCAAAATTGCTGTAATCAATGGTGGCTAAAAACTTGTCATAGTTCATGGACAGCCATTTTTCCCACAGAGGAAACTTCGCAAGACTCTCGCCGGACTCACCCAATTTCCATAGGAAGTGTTCAAACGAACTATATTTCTTAGTTCTACCGGGACCCGCCATGACACAATCATTGTAGCGAACCATTCTCTTTGTATTCACTTGGGTAGATGTAAGTTTCACCTGAGCAACTTCTTCCAGGAAGCCCTGCTTTGTGGAATAGAATCCCAAGAGTATGCTTTCTCGATCACTACAATCTTTACCTCTTCAAATATAAGATTAATCATTATCTTCCTAACATAAACTAAACTATGCATTTTGCTCTGTAACAGTCTACACAGAGTGACTTTTGGACATTGTAAAGAATGAAAATCATTGTAAAAAAAGAGAACAGGTTAACACAACAGTATCTGTCTTGTATTAAATAGAAATCAGATTACAGCAAAGATTGATCCTACGCTATAATATTAGATTGTTCGATTTTAGAATCAACTTTCATTCCCGAATTAATGTATATAGACAAAATAGGAACAATGAACACTTATACATTTCTGCCATCGATTTACAGTGTTATATATGCTTTGACGATAAAACTCTAAATTTTCAGACCAGCGGACTATGGTAGGTGTAGCAAATTACCGTACACCATGTCGATGAGCTTTTGCAGTGTTATCCTGACCACATGTGTCCAAATATTGTCATGAAACAGAATTGGTTGTAATCGATTAAACAGTTCCGGTCGTAATTTGACTAAATGTGCATTTCATTCAGTTGCTGGCGGTAAACAACGCCAGTGATGCTTTGGTTAAATTTCAGAAAACTGTAATAGATAACGCCAATGGCGGGTTACCCGACAGTCACCAAAGTCTTCTGTTGCGCAATTTCGGTTTTGGAAAGTGTTTCCTTCGTTATCATCAAGCCATTAAGCCGATCGTTTACGATTATCATAAAGGACCCATTTCTCATCACAGATCGATATTCGATAAAGACATAGATTATTCGAATTTCCCAGATGCAGCATCGAACATATTTCTAAAGTTCGAACAGTTTCAATTATTGTGGGACGTATTTATCGAGTTTATTTACGCTTTTAGAATAAAACCATAAAGGTTTAGACGCCAAGAAATCTTTGAATACTGTTTCTGCATCTTATTTGTAAAGAAATGTCTTTTGGCTTAAAGAAGATGCGTGAAAAAGTGTTAGCAGGCGAGAGATCAAAGCGAAGTTGCTATAAATGTGACAAAGTCTCGTATCCCAAGTTGGTGAGCTTCTATGATGTCATCCATTATGAAGCAAAAACGGTAAATCGTCCCCTAACCAGTACCATTTGTAATTTGACTTCACTGAATTTGCATTTCATCAAAAGTTACTAGCACTAAACTTCGGTAATGAAAGCTGTAACGGATAACAGCAATGGTGAACTAACCGACAGTCACAAAAATCTTCTGTTAAGCAATTTTGGTTTTGGGAAGTGTCTGGGTCCTTCGTTATGATCAAGTCATTAATGAGACCGTTTACAATTATAATAATGGATTCATTTCTCATCACAAATCGATATTCGATAAAGACATAGATTATTAGAATTTCCAAGATACAGTATCGAACATACTTCTATATTTTAGGCGACTTTATTGACATTTTTCACGTTGCCAATATTCTTCAAATGGTCCAATACGGTCGAAATGCTGCCACAGATTAGCTTAGATATTTATCTGACTCATTGACATGGGATTTGTACGACTAATTTTTCCAGATACTTGAATAAGTGTTTTAGGGCGAAAGATGAACGCAGAGTTGATGTGGATGTGACAAAGTCTCGTATCCAAGTCGGTGAGATTCTGTGATGTCATTCGATATGAAGCAGAACTGAAACTAGTCACAGCACTAGTTCCGGTTGTAATTTAACTTGGCAGGATTGGAATTACATCCAGTTGCTAAAAGTAAACATTGCCAGTGATGCTGCTTTGATTAAATTCCAGAAAGCTGTAATGGCCAACGACAGTCACCAAAATCTTCTCTTGCGCAATTTTGGTTCTAGAACGTGTTTCGGTCGTTCGTCATGATCAAGACATTAAATCAAATTTTACGATTATCATAAAGATTCAATTTCTAATGACAAATCACTTTTCAATCAAAAAATGGATCCTTGAAATTTTGTAAATGCAGCATCAAACACATTCCAAAATTTCGAACTCTTTGACTTTAACTGATTTCATGTGGAAAGCATTTATCGTATTTCTTCTAATTTCCTTCAGGTATATTGTTGAAATGTTGACCTCCCCATGATCTGGGAGATTTCTCTTACACTTTGATGTGGCTTTATTCGATGATTATTTTCAGATGTTGATTGTTAATGGCAGATAAATGTCCTCTACCACCTTGATCTTCAAGACTCCTTACTAAGCTGTGTAACTTCAAAAACCAGCGCCATATTGTCCAAACACAAGTGGAATGGTCACCCATTGCTCTGTTAATCTTGGCAGCAACTTCAGAAGCATTAAGACCAATCTTGAACACATGCAAAATAAAGTTACTGCATCTCTTCTTTCGTAATGTTCAAAATGAGTGATAGATAATACTTCAATATCTGTTAAAAGCTTGACGACACTTCGCAGATATCTCTCCCGGGTAAGACGCCCCATAGAGGAGAACATAACTAAAGACTGTGTATACGCTATCCTTTGCAGCTGTGAAAAGAAATATGAAGGAGAGAGAGGCCGCCCCCTTAAGGTAAGGCTTCAAGAACACCTGAAAGCTGTAACACGAGGGAAAGTGGAAAAATCAGGCGTGGCTGACCACATATAGAGAGAGGAGGGAGATCACCGCCCTCTGTGGAATCAGGTTGAGATCATAGAGAAGGAAGACCATTAGATATTAGAAAATTCGTAAAGAAATCAGCACATGCTAGGCCACAAAATTTCCTTCGCCGACCAAGCATAGAAATGAATACAATATGTGAACCAGTAATAAGGAGTGCTAGAGAAAAGCGATAACAACAAAAAAAGTTGCAATATGAGCTCTGGTAAAAATATGATATGATAACAGCAAAAAATTGCAATATGAGCACTGATAAAAATGGTTGCTGAAGACATTAGGTTTATAATACCCAGAAATTCATAGACAGATGTCCTCAAGGACACATGGCACAGTGGATAAAGGCGTTGGTTAGATCTAGTGACAGGAACCAAAGAGAATGAGTTAAGGAGAACTTTCAGACGGAAATTAACAGGAGATAACTGATAACTGACATCCATTAAAAATGGCACGTGGAACTAGAACAGTCTACCCCAGTGAGCGAAATAAATGGTTAAGTTCGATATTCCAACCGCCTGAAGAAGGCCGGAGCGTACAACGGCCGAAATGTTCTAATAAATATGGCGATAAAGATGAGGACAATAGTCCAAATAATGTAAATAATGTACATAATACTTCAAGCTTAAAAGAGATTGATATAAAATTAATAAAGAGAAAACTTTAATCATTAGGGATGATTCGTATATTTTTTGTGAAACTATTATATCAGGTCATCCCATAAGTTCTGTCCGAATTTTAACTTTTTGTTAAAATGAACGAAATTTAAAGAGTATTTTATAATTTCCAATGGAGCTGAACATTATTTTTATGTTTAGATGCATTTCAACTGATCAAATTTTATTTCAGAAAACAATAAAATTAAATTTTATTTGATTAAAACCCTGCTAACATGGAAGTATCCAA